ATGTTTCCGCACGGAGGGAAATGGAAAAATCCCCCCATGGCCTGGCTCGATTTGAATACCCGACTTCGGGGTTGAATAAAACATTGTTACGTGTCGGTCCATTCATGGATGAAGCGACTATTCCGCGTCATTCGATTTTTTTTCCCGCTTTTTCTTCGACCGCTTCGGTATTTTTTTTTGTGCCGTTTCCACCCCCTCGAGCCGGGCCTGCGAAATAAACGCGGAACGTTGTCACTCAGGACCGAGAATAGTGGTTTTATGAGATAATGGATAACTCCCGTTTATTATTGTTTGTCTAGAGTGTTGTAATGTTACTTTTTGGAAGATAATTTTTGGTACATCCTGTACGCGAAAGTAAAAATTTCAATGCATATACAGAATGTCTCAAATTATTTTGTACACCCTGTATGAGTAGATGAGGGTGTTTTAAAATTTGCTTCTTTGGTACACCCTGTATGAGAAAATAAAAATTGAAAAAAGTATGTACAGAGTGTCTCAAAATATTAGGTAATATATGTTTAATATCGGAATTTTTGTACACCCTGTATGAGTAGATGAGTATAGAGTGTTTTAAAAATTGCTTCTTTGGTACACCCTGTATGAGAAAATAATAATTGAAACTAGTATGTGCAGAGTGTCCCAAAATATGAAGTAATTTATGTTTAATATCGGAATTTTTGAAGAATTCAGGGTATTTTAAAATTTGCATCTTTGGTACACCCTGTATGAGAAAATAAAAATTGTACAGTGTCTCAAAATATTAGGTAATTCAAGTTTAACATAGGATTTAACAAAGTCGAATATAGGGTGTCCCTTAGAATGAGATATAATGTCCCAAAAATGAATATAGGGGGTCCCAAACTTTTGTAATGTCCCAAATATCCTATAAATATCCTCAAAAATCGACCAATTAATCTTCTAAAACGTTGAATAATCTCGAGAAATCTTGATTTGTAATAATGTACCTACCTACCAAAATTTTCATGGTTGGTACACCCTGTAAGAGAAAATAAAATTGCAATGTATGTACAGAGTGTCCCAAACTTTCACCCAACAAAATTCGATTACAATAAAGTGTTTGTTTCTAGTAGTTAATAATTGTGTACATGAATTGTATTTCTCAAAAGGCATTTACACGAGTTAAAATAATTATACCATGTATAGAGTGTCCCAAATTCATTAGATATCCCGGGGGATAAAGCAGAGGAGCGAGAGAGACGGGAGGAGGGGATGGTTTTGCGGGTTTGTTTTAGTCGAGAAAATTCGATACAAATCCGGGAAAGGGGCGCCTTAGGGCAAAAAGGGCCGTAATAAATTTGGGTTCGTTTTTGTTCTGTAATTATCGTTCGTTATTAGGCAATTAACGTTCGGGAAAATTCGAAAATCATTTTTGCGCTCGATTTATAATAGTAGGCCGAGTTTGCGGTAGCACACTCGCGATTAAATTAAAAATCCCCAAACCGTTTTATACAAAATTGTGGATTAAAGTGACACCCTGTATATCGTAAATCAAATGGAAAATATTCCAACACACCTGATAGGTATTTGTGATGATGAATGCGGCTGTGTATTCATCATCAGGGAAAATGCCGGTGGATAATCCGGGAGTTTTTCATTTCGGCCAAAATTGAATTAAATAAGTGGAAAATAAAATTCCCTTTGGACGGCCGACCAATTTTTCCCGCGAGCTTTCCCACCGAAAGAAAAGAAGTTGGAAAGCGCTCAAAAGGTCAAAGGGAAAACTCGATTTCGCCCGGGGAAAGCCCAATCTATTTCGCTAAATAAAATTTAGCAACAATTCGTCGCGGGAGAGTTCGGGCGTGAAAGAAAATGAATAATTTCCCGGCGCGGACGGAGGAAAAGGCTTAAAAAAATCGGGAGTTTTCTCATCGATTTTGAATTAATTGAATTCTAATTGAAAAAGTCGTTACGTCAAGGAAACTGTCGCGGAAAGGGAGAAAAGGAAATTTAATGATTGCGATTGCGAAAACTCGTTATTTTGAAATTTTCCCGATCGGTTTTCCCAGCGGTTGAATCGCATTCGTCTTGGAATTATCGGCGAATTTCTTCGGAAAAATGCTAGTAAGTTGCAAACGACAGGTCATTTGAGGATAATTTTCGGGATTATTAAAGGATAATTCTCAGTTACAATATAATTTCCCGAAATTCCATTTTCCTGTATTACCGCAAATGGAAAACCGAGCGTATATACCATACATGAGGAGAACGACAATAAAACATTTACGCTTCCCGACCGAAAATTCCGCAGGAAATATCCTAGAAATGGAAACAATGTTACCCAAGAATCCTGCTAATCGTCTGGCTGCAATAATTCCATTTGTATTCTTAATTTCAATGAAATTTTCTTAAGTGATTTTAGATGATTTTTAGTGCCTTTTTTAGTTGGCAACGTTAAACGAAAATTCTGATTTTAGAACTGAATAGCCTCACAATTAAAGGCCTCTAATGGTTAAAGAACACATTTAGTTGTCAAAAAGCTACTAGGTTTTACGAGTTGCCAACTTTAAACGAAAATTCTTACATTAGAACTGAATAGCCTCACAATTAAAGACCTCTAATAATAAAAAAACACATTTAGTTGTCAAAAAACCACTAAATTAAACGAGTTACCAACTTTAAACGGATTTTCTGATACTAGGACTGAATATCCGCACAATTAAAGACCTCGAATAAAAACTACTAGATTTAACGTGTTGCCAACTTAACTACACTCCCCTAGAAAATATTTCAAATGAAAAATAATGTTACGTATAAATAACCCAATTTCCCTTCTTTAAAACCGGAAAATAAGTCACGCATTTCCCCGAATTACCCCCACACTTCTAGATTGCCCTATAAATCATTGGCAAAAAAAGAAGAAGACTTTTGTGGGACCGGCGGGACTTTCCGCAGACGAATGACAAATGCACAAGGACCTAGTGCTTGAACTAGGATTCCAATCCTTGTGCAGGACCGTACTTCAATCTAATTTCCATCGAAATTTCCTCTTGTACTAAAAACAAAGGGAGAAAACATGCGAATTAAAATCGCGGTGTTGCTAAACCGCGATTTTTTTACTAGTAAATGGGGAATTTTCTTAATATTGTATTCATGGAGGTTCGTTTCAAAAGGAGGAATATTTTATAAAAGCCGCTTGCTTCTCTATGCACTCGGAGCAATTTCCGAACGTGCATAGCCCGAGGAAAATGCTCCGGGGTTTTTATTTAAATGTAGGGAAAGCGGAGCGAGTTTCATAGCGATTACAATCGAAGAAAGGACGAAGGAATAAAGGACTCTTCGGTGTATACACTCGGTTTTTGTAATCCCTGTAAAAAAAATCCGAAATTACAGTTTTCTTTGTTAAATATTATTTCCCAGCCGGATGATTCGGCGTAGGAAGTTATCCGGGGCGCGGGAAATTCCTGAATATATTAAATTTCCCAGCGAGAAGGCGACATTTCGCCCTTTTTCCTGGATTATTTAATATAAATATTCGCTTTATTCGTACAAGGTGCAAGGAATTGTTCGAATGCCATTCGAAGGTGTCCGTTTATTAACAAATATTTAGTTTTCCAATGTTGCCACATCGCGCGAAATTTCACCAACACCTTTTCTTTCCCAAGAATTTTCCACTTCACCAAGGCACGCTCAATTTCCACCACCGATACAAATAATAACGTAATCAATGACAAAAATTGTAGTTTTATAATGTTGCCAGATTGTACGAAATTTCGCCAAAATTTTTACAAATAATTTTTCTTCCTTAGATCCTTTTACTTCCTAGGATTTTTCCTGCAAAAAGCGATTAATTCATTTCACCAGGGCATGCTCGATTTTTATCCCGAATAACGTAATCAACGACAAAAAAAATATTTTTACAATGTTGCCAGATTGTACGAAATTTCGCAAAAATTGCCACAACTTTTTTTCTCTTTAGATCCCTTTTGTTTCCCAAGAATTTTCCCGCAGAAAGCGATTAATCCCCATCGCCTCGGCGCGCTCGATTTCCATCCCTAAACCGGCTCGACCCCTGCCAATTCTTATTTATTACACCTTTTGCACACCGGTGTAGAGCGGGAAAAATGGCGACTCGGGAAACGCATCCATCTCGGCGTCCGGGCGGATTGCGCGGAGGAAAATTCGATTTTCCGGTCGGTCTAACCGCACCGATAAATCACAATTGATCAATAGCGTGGGTAATTATAATTAATTAATTGAATTATATTTTTTTGCAGAAGCCCACAGGGCGCTGGAACTCCTCGAGGACTACCATTCGAAGCTGACGAAGCCGCAGGACAAGCAGCTCCGATTGGCCATCGAAAGGGTCATCAGGATATTCAAATCGAGATTGTTTCAAGCCCTTTTAGGTGAGTTTTACATGCGTATTTAATAGTGAAAGTGAACAAATAATTTCCACCATTGTAAATATCGTTTTTACCTATCAAAAAGCAGTACTTTTCTATAACAAAAAGAAAGAATTTTAACAAGTAAAACAATCAGTAAATCATTTAATCAATCAGCGTCGCTCGGAGCTTTATAATTAGAATAATATGAGGGAAAAGTACGCGCGATACAATTGCGTAAATGTCGGTAAACCGGGAATTGCGTTCGTCCTGCTCCTGCCCTTTGATATAATTATAAATGATCGTCGAGCACGCCATTAAACCGGCTCCGCGTTTTAATTAAACGTCTCATTAAACGGACGAATTTATCGGGTCAATTGCACTACAGAAAGAATCGCCCGCGTACCTATTTTTTTTAATCCTACATTGCATCTAATCCCAAAATTACTCCCAACTATTAACCGACATTTCATCGCAAAATTCACATAAGTTTAATATTTAGGTGTCTTGATGGTGTCAAATGTCAGTTGTCGTTTGTCTGTCAACTTTAATCGTCATTTGTCATCAACTTCATTTTGAATGACATAGTAGATGAATGGTGCATTACCTAATTTATTATCATTACTTCAAATCTACATAATAATTTCGATGAATTGTCGAATTTTTGATGGATTTTTTTAATCGATTTTATCGTTGTTTACTTGTATCAAAACGGCTACGAACGACCAAGAGGATTTCAATATCTGCAATAAAATCGTTGATTAAACGATACTCTATAAAGTTCGTATACGTTTTAAAATGATATTGACTTCATTTTTAGTCATTTCCACGCAGTTCAAAATTCGCTCATCGTTGCCACATTGCTCTCTCTCTTCAAATTCCGACTTTCCCAGCGATTTTTTCTTTTCTTTACAATCCGGCAACGTTGCAGAAGGCCGATTGGTGACGTCATTGTCATTTTAAAACGTACGAACTATGTTTGTCAACGATTGCTCACTTTGATGAAAGTTTCCAGCGACAAAGCGAAGAAATTCCCGGCGTATAATTTTATAGGGCGTTGCGATCTCGTCATGAAAAACACCAAATTCTTCTGGAATTCCAAAGGGCACTCGGACCAATCGCAATGGTACGCGGAATCGGTCAATTTGTCGCTCTAATAAAATACATAATAATAAAAAAAACACCCATACAGGGTGAGAGTCAAGGAAGATCTGTATTAGAAACTCGTTTGCATCCACCCTGTATGCAGGGTGTTTCTGAAATTAGTGCTTTGGGAGGAAGTAGAGAAGCTAAAAATGAGACAAAAACTTAAATGTCATTTTATCGAAATGTTCTTGGTTATATCGGTATACAGGGTGTTAAAGGTGGGTTCTTGGAGAGATATTTTTATTAATTATTTCATTAATAGCAAAGGTAAAATGATGAAATTTGGTACATATACTGAGCAAATGAAATGTCTTACGGTGCTATTCAATTGGGTTAAAAAATTGTCCAGGGGCGGGTTAAAATGAGGGGTTCGTGGGGTAATTTTAACTTAACTTTTTAATTTTAATCTTTTCTATTGATTTGTTTAAGAAATATGAAAAAATGAAGTTTTTTACATAAAAAAGGTATACTTGTTGATTTTCTGTAAAGTGAACCGTTTTAACGAAAAATTAATTTTAAAATTCTAATATACAAAATTATTAAACTATTTTGTCACCTTTAAAAATCTAGGAATGAATTCTTGCAAAAACTTAACATTTTGATAAAATGACACTTAATTTTTCGTCATATTTTGAGGTTCTCTACTTTCTCCCAAAGTTTGACCACGTATTTCAAAAACACCCTGTATAGTATAGACGTTACCTCTTTAATAACCTCGTTGCCGTAATAACAAATGGGATAAATTTCGAGAAACATGCACATTTGATACAAGGCCATCGAAAAGAACCGAATGCTCGAAGCGGGCACCTGAAACAAATCGTATTACCCCCGTATTTAGGGCGCATCTCCGCCGATTTTCGCTTCGATTTAGCCGATAATTATAATTCGCAGCGGTTATTTGCTTTACGTGCAGAGAAAACGTCGAAAGCGTCGAGCTTTGTTTGCACCTTCGAGACGCTACATTATTCGGGATTTCCCCGATAATTTATACGCGGAATACCTGCGTCATTTCGAAGAACGTCGCGCAAATTACGAAGACGCTGACGACGAACTGGCTGAAGATGGCGTACGTGAACATTCCCGACCAGGTCTCGGTGAATCTGCGAACATCGTCGAACGGTTTAATTGTTATACTCCGTTCGCTATCGGGAGATATAGAGGAAATATAGTAATATAGAACCTGATTTATTCGTGTGGAAAAGTGAGGATGCGAGGGAATTGTGGGAAAGAGCGGAATATTTTTACTTATACCAAGCCCCCCGTATTCAGAAGTTTTTTTTATAATCAACTGGTTTTTTGTAACCAACGATATATATCTCAATTTTAAACATGACAACGTTGCTTATTTGAATCTTAAGTAAGATGAAAATTAGGTTAATTTTTTTTGTCATTCAAAAAAATCTGAAATCGGGGGAAAATCTTTACAAGCTTTTATCATTGCGTAGGAGTAGATGTTTAATTTCCTTTAGTGAGCCACTTTGTATACAGTGTGTATACAGTGTGGGTTTTATTATCAATAACAGAGTCTAATATCACAAATTCAAGCGTTTCAAGATGCTCAAATTGTTTTAAATTTGGGCTAAAAATTTTCCGGCAACCTCTTTTCCTTCGGAATACTTTTTTAAAACGCCCCCCGTATGTGTTATGCTTACTCGATTATGAGGCGATGTTGTCTGATGCAATGTACCAATTTTTCGTTCATGTTCTTTACCAAACTCTTTGTTCGGTTCGTTTCCATCGGTTGCAAATTCACCAGCGAATCGTTCAGGACGTTCAATTGAGCGCAAAACGTCATTAATAACACTAAAAAAAAAAACAAACCAGTCGCAATAAAATGGGCGGTGGCATTTCAACATTTTTGAGTATGTGTAAGTGATTAGTTTGCGTTCGCCCCTCGTATGTCTTTTGTGTATTACCAGTGGTGGTGAAAAACTTAGTACAAATTACTAATACTGTATAAGTAACTAACTGTATGTATTACTAACTGTATTAGTGCAAATTACTCTTTCATGAAGCATTGTAGAAATTTTGATCAGTGATTGTCTACGTTCGCACCTCGTATTTCATAATTACAGTAATGGTATGACCTACTTGTACAAAAAGTCCTGGATCTAAATGATTCTAGACAATTCTAAATGATTCTGGAGCGTTCTAAAATTGTTTTAGACAGTTCGAAATGAGTTCTGGAGTATTCTAAATGGTTCTAAACAGTTATGAATGATTCTGGAACGTTCTAAACGAGTCTTGAGAGTTCTAAATGATGATGGAGTGTTCTAAACGAGTCTGGAGAGTCCTACATGATGATAAAGCGTTCCAAATTCTTCTTCTGGACAGTTTTAGATGAATCTGGAGCGTTCTAAATGGTCGAAGAATTACAAAAAACTACCTCACTTTCATTTACCGTGATTAGTCTACGTTTGCCCCTCGTATGCCATAATTACAGTAATGGTAGAAAATGTAGACCTACTCTTTCGAAAAGTATTATAAAAAATCAGTGCAGTGTCTAGTTTACAGTGGTGGTAGAAAACGTAGTACATATATTACTGTTTCACGAAGCAACACTTTGTATATAGCAATTAGTTTACGATCGCCCCTCGTACACGCCTAAATCGGTGGTAGAAAAAGTGAAGAAAATTTCATATACCTGCCATGAGACAATCTGCCGCCAAATCCATCTGCCCCCCGACGGCCGTCGCGACGATTTCGAACGAATATACGAGGGCGAATCGAAACGTCGAATTCCGAACGTCGAACGGCACGTAGGCCGGTATGGGCAAAAAGGGCCCGTCGTCGTCGGTGAAGGGATAGACGGCCCAAAAGGCGCACGTCGCCGTCACGGCGCCCGCGCATCCCAGCGTCAGCGCCTTGCCCAAGCGGGCGTAGCGCCCGAGGGCGGCGAGTTGGCGCCCGGAGCGCGGTCGCAGCGCCGCGACGTTCATGGCGTCGATCAAGTCGAGGATGCGGCGCTGGTTGCGCCACACGGCGTGGAATTTGGCGATCGACACGAGATTGCTGAGGGTGAGAAAGAGGGCGCGCATCAGCTGCTCCAAATCGCCGAAGCTGTAGTAGAGGTTCGCCAGTTCCGCCGACATGATGCCGCCGAACATGAAACCTTTTTTTTTTGTTTTTGTTTTTTGGAATTGTCGATGCCTTTAGGGGTCGGTTTATTGATTGAAGGATAACTCGCCGGGTTTGACAACCCTGGGTTATCTCTAACTCTGCGTTAAATTGCGAGTTAAGACTAAGGGGCCGGTTTATCGAATGAGGGTTACCGCTCGAGTTAAAGATAACCTTGGGTTAAAGTGGCAAAAGTGTTTTTATATCGCGGGTTAACTGGTAACTCGAGGGATACTCCTGGGTTATCTTAACCAGCGCAAAATTGGTTGTAGATTTGTAGGTTTGTAGATTTCACTCTGCGTTAAACTAAAATTTAAGTATTTTTCTGTTGTCAAACGCATTTTTTCATTAGAGAAATTTGGTTTTTTTCGCTCGCTTTCGATTAAAAAAAGGAACCGTTTTAAACAAACAAAATAAGTATTTTTTTTTTCGAATTCGGAAAAATTCAATCCTCTTCTTCTATCCACCAAATTAAATTCTTCTGACTTTCATTTTAAAAATTAGTAAGGTTATTATAGTCAAGAAATGTCAAAAACGAGCACAATACAACGTTGCCAAAGTTTCGACGGTTGTATTGTATTGCCAACCTTTTAGCATTTCTTGGGTTTGCTAGCCTGGGGTTAAAAAAGCTTGGATAAACACTTTTGTTCTTAATTCGCAATTTAACCTACTGTTAGAGGTGACCCAGGGTTGTGCTCATTTTTGACATTTCTTTTTCTTTTGACATTTTTTACAATTTATCTAAATGAAAAAATGCCTTAGACAGTTGAAAAATACGAAATATTTAGGTTAACCCAGAGACAAATCGACAAACCTATAAAATTTGCGATGGTTATGATAACCCATGAGTATCCCTCGAGTTGAAATGAAAAAACACTTTTGCCAGTTTAACCCAGGGTTATCTTTAACTCGAGAGCTAACGAAAATGTGAAAACTGACAGAAAGAAAATGTCAGAATGTATGTTGCACAACCCTGATTTTTTTTGTACAGTGAAGTGTATTTGCTATTTTGTGGAATTTTTAATGAATTTTCCTCACCCGATAGAACGGCCACTCTGACATTGTGAAGGAAATTTTCCAGTTTAGTGTCCAATTTGGGTCGCATGATTCCGAAAAAATACATAAAATTAACGTTTATCTCGACGTGGTCTTTGAAATCGTACGGTAGGGGCGGCATGTTTCGTCCCATTTCGAATAATTCCCGGTTTATATACTGAAAATTTCGCGTGAAAATTGCAAAACAAGCCTGCTTAAATATTCAATTATTCGATATGAGAAATTATATACAGGGTGGTTCGTTTATTATAACATTTTGAACTTTAGAATGCTATAAAAAATCACTCGCCGATCCCGCAATTTAATAAAGCCGTTGGAAAAATTTAGCGAAATTATGCAAAATATAATACAATAATTATCCCGATTAAAATCTAAACCAAAGCCACCTTGTTTGTTGCTCGTTTCCCCGTTTTTGTTTCCATCCAAATTACACGTTTACTCGACCGCGTTGTTGAAAATTTTAAAACTCCCAGGACTTTCGCAAACTACATAATCGTTTCCAGCATTTTTTCCCATTAAAAAAATTCGAAATACCGTGCATTAAACATGTAATACGTAAATGTAATTTTTACCCAACACTCGAAGTTTGTTTTTCGTTTTGATAAGTTGGTATTAAATGACAAAAATTGAGTTAGTAACACTGGTGAATTTGATTCATATGACAGTTGGTGTAAATTGTCAAAAATTGAGAAACAAATTTGCTATTAAGGCTACATTTTAGAACATCTCCATGAGACCTTAACGAATTTTCCTCGTTACATTTCCCGGTGTAACAAAATTTTCCAATCTACCGAAAAGGCTTCTTTGTAGTTTTAAGGCTAGTTCGCATACGTCTCGGTATCAAATTTTCCTGTAATGGCGCTCGAATGTTAAGTGGATTTTCCGAAGGAGGTATTACACGTTAAGTGCATCAAAACGTGAGGTTAACGGTGGAAAATCCGAGCGAGGGGGGATTTCCCCGCGCCTTCAGCGAAGCGAAATACCTCTATGTCTCTAATAAAGTAAATTAATTAGCGGGAGTTTGGTCGATTTCGTTTCTGTTAATTAATATATGGAGCGTTTGAGGTTTGCACTATTTGAATTTTTATGAATGGCTGTTTTAAAATCGTAGTTTTTCATTAATTAATAGCTTTTTTTTTCAATTTGCTCGAATATATTTCTATGCAAAACTACTACAAAATTAATACATTTTTCAACAAAAGTGCTCTCGTGAGTTTTTTTTATTTATTCATGCTTATGAGTACTGCGAAATAGGACCAAGAAGATTTTACAATCTACAACAAAAAAAGGACATATTATAGTGGATAATACGAAACTCGTTTAACTTACTTTAACGAAAGTGGTTAGTGATAATGTGAAGAAACTTCCCGCATAAATGTTCATCTCCATTTGCGATCTTGTCATGAAATATAACAGATGTTTCTTGAACGTTGGAGAACAGTCTGTCCAATCGCATTTATAAGCCGCATCGCATAATAAATTACTCTGTATATAAATAAAACAAAAAAACATAACTTTTTTATGGATTCATTCATTTATTGCTTTATTTATCGATTCATTCATTACTTCATTCATTCATTGCTTCATTTATTGATTCATTCATTCATTGATACGAGGGTAGGGTGGAAAGTGCTCGGTCTGATACTTTGGGACATTTGTAATTGATTCTAGAACTGTCTAGAACCGTTTAGGACCCTAAAGATTTTGACTTAATAAGAATAATAATCAGTTTTCCATGAACTTGCCTGAATCATTACTTCGTTGCCGAAATAACACCATAAAAATATCTCCAAGAGTATGCAATACTGATAGATTATTAACGATATGGATTGCATACTTCCGAACGGTATCTGTAACGAAAACCATAAATCATTGAGTCATAAAAATATCTGGAATAATAAGAAAATTATGATAGAAATGTTTTTTGTTTTCTAAAACTGTAACACCCTGTAGCTTGAAAACTAAGAGAGTTAGGACATATATTGATATAAACTTTTCTTCTTGAAATTAACCAAATATTCTCATCTTAAAGTATTAGCAATTAATTAACACCCTGTATATGTTTTTCTCGTGAACTCACCAAAGTCAAATTGTACATGGTGGTGCATATAATAATGACGCTAACGACGAATTGCGCCAAGATGGCGTAGGAGAATATTAACTGGAATTCCCGTACGAAACTGCAAATATAAAATTTACCGTTCCCTAATAATATTTATTTTTACTTCAAAAAAAAAACATACTTCAAAATGCACCTGTGATGATTCACGCAATCGACCAACAAAGCGCTCATTTCGTCCATCAAAATCGCCGGAATGCCGCCGGATTTTCCCGAATTTTCCCCCAAACCGCCCAATCTCGCCTTCGCGTAATCCCGCAGATTCGTCAACGTGTCTCTAAGTATCTCTAATTGAGCGCAGGCCGCCATTATCAAACCTACAATCATAATTACAATATACTTCCTATCTACGATAATCTAGCTGGCGCCCGCCAAATGTCAAGTGTCGAATGTCAAGTGTCAATGTACCTACCGGCGAATAGGGTATCTGCTGCGATGTTAGAGGTACCGTTCAACCAAGAACCGACCGATGTGTGAAAATAGGCGATGCCGAAATTGGGGTTGTAGGTGGTGTTGAAGGGGTACCAACTGTCCAAGGGTAACATCAATTCCTCCAGCGTGAAAGGGTAGAATGTCCAAAACATGCACGTCAACAGACAGAGGATTTGGAATCTGAAAGAGCAACAATTTCGTCCCGGTAGATTCGCGATTTGAACCACCCCTCGAATTTATTTTTGTTCCGAGTCGCCTGGTATTTCGGATTTTTTCTGATACAGTGCGTAACGAGTATAAGGACTATGTCGCGTGGATTAATTTACTTCCCTCGGCGTTACAGAAGCACTGCACCGGGTGGTTTTAATGCCAATACAGAGGGACGAAATTTTAAGCGAAAGACTTACTTGTACGATATGAACTTGGCCATTCCGATGTATCTTCCCAAAGTGTCGCGTTGCGCGAGCGAAACGGGCCTGAAAGCCGGCTGGTTGAGCGACTCTATCAAGTCCCAGAGCCTCTTTCTGTAGTAGTACATGTAGCCCAGCTTGGTGGTTTGCACCAGATGGGTGAGGAAGAGGAACGAGTCGCTCAGCACGTCCGTCACGTTTTCGGCGTTGAAGTAGATTTTGAAAAATTCGCAGGCCAACTGCGAGTAGAAGAAACCCACTGAAAATTACTTTGATTGTATACAGGGTGTCCCATTACGAGTTAAAACTGTCTGTATATGGGAAACTGCTTATCCGATTTAATTAAAATTTGGTAAACATAGGTTACGCAATAAGACGGAACTTTTGAAAATATTTTGACAGTTGTACCACTTCCGGATATACCGGAAGTAGGCGTCAACTTTGTTATTTCAAATGGAACACCCTGTATAATAATATATTTTCGAAATCTACGACAAATTTTGGGGTACTTTTATTTGAAACACTTTTTTCAAAAATGTATACTTTTTAAGTTAATATTTTTGACCGATGTAGACCCTCATAAATAATTTTTTTACGAGGATCTCCTTAAGGATATGGAAACGGTTTCTGTAGGGTGGCTACTAGAAAGGTTAAAGGTATTTGAATCTGTGTTAAAAAACATTTTATTTCATACAGAGTGTGTACAAAAAATGTGAAAAGTTGAACTTCAAAAATATCAAATTTCTTCACTTTTTTTTATATGCATTTACAGGGGAGCATTTACAAAGAGGGGCAGGTTTTTTGGGGTAAAAATGATCATAATATGTGCCACTCTGTATTTAATATAATTTACCTATGTATATTAAAAATGCTGCACAGAAGTAGGCCACTTTAGGTATTGTATAGTATTGCGGTAACATGTAAGAAAAACCTTCCAGCAGAAACACTTGCACTGATACGATTTCTTTGAAATTTATATCGCGTATTTCCCCCATTTTCCATTAATTTCCACTATTATTTGCGTAGAAGAAACCCCCCCTTTGAACGTTCGAAACGGAATAATCGCAGTTGCTCTTCGACAATTTAATATATCCCGTTTCTCAAGGTGACTGGCATCCGGTGTATTCCTAAATAGGCGCTAATTAGTCGGGTAATTGGTGCTTAATTAGCAATCGCAGGTGGGCCGGGCCCCGTTCGCTAATTAATTGATGGCTCCCGCCGATGAGGGGGCTGTAATTACGAGATGGTACGGATTCGAATTTTGATTTCGAGGGGATGTGCACGAGAACGGGGGGAGGGAGGCGGGAAATTCGAAACTCCAACGTTTTAATTGTCCCGTAAGGAGGAATTTAATGAAGTATTTACTGCTTTGGAATACAGAAATTATATGTTTTGTGATAGGAAAATGTACCAACAAGACGTTTAAAAGGTGTAATTATTGGTTTCGGTTACTTCATTATATAAACTAAATTGTCCCTTTAGAAAAGGAGATTTATAAAATTTTGAAGTTTTCTATACATATATAGGGTGTTTCATTAATGATTGAATCTAAGAATCTCCAATTAATTACAATTACAATTATCTCCAGAATCATTTAGAACTCTCTAAAACCATTTAGAAGTGTCTTATTGAACTAAAATTTTAACTTTATAAGAAGAATAACGGCCGAGAACATTTCATCTAACCCTTCTATATCTTAACATAAACTCACCCTGTATATATCCTTATTTTTTTTTGTTCTCGCTACGTTATTGTTCTAGTCGAATAGGCGTCGCGACGCTTCGTTGGCTCCTTTGTGGTTTCAGTTTCCTTCCGGGTGTAGATAATGTTTTGCTATACGTGTATAGCGCTTTTCACAGGGACCTGCGGTTGAAAATTCACCGGAAAATTCGCTTTTCACACAGTAACGTACGCTAGTTTTTCTACCGCCAATAAACGAGCGCGTGTAGTTCGGAATTTTTGTAGGGGACACCCTGTAGAGGGATTTTCGTGGATGTTTTTCCGAAGTAAGGAAAGCCGGAAAAAGGGAGAGGAAAAGGGCGATATCTTCACGTGCATTTTTTATGTTTCAATCTCCGGAAAATATTATAGGGAAATCACCGTTTATAAATATAAAAATAATAAATACTTGGATAAAATTAATGATATCTGAACAATTAATTAGATCGTAGGCGGTTCTGATTAATTGGTAATTTTTTAGCAACGTTTCAAGTTTAAATGACCATCATAAATTCTGTTATGAAATCTATTTGTATTCTAAACTATTCGATTTTTATTAAACTTTCTCCCAGATAGGTATCACTCAGAGGTCATTGGTTAAATATGCAAAAATGATAATTTTCCACAATTTCATGAATTAATTAAATAATATCTAGACTCTATAGCTAGGCACTCGCCTAGCCATTTTTGTTACAAGAAATATATTTCTAGCTTTTCAACAGCAAATTGATAATATAGAATATATTTTTTTTATTCATATAGTGCATTCAGTATTTCACAGTCGTGACGTCATCAATAGGTTGTAAAAAAATAGGTTTATAATGAGTTATAGAGAGTAATAGAAAAAAATAAACCGTGCATTATACTAACAAATTTTTATTTAAATTACAACAAATTAAAATAGACTAGATTGATCTTATTACAATAGATAACAATGTTTTTAATATTTGTACCCCCCGTTATCGTGGTGTCCCCCCGCGTAATTACCGTGATCGAAACTGGGCGCGTAACCGTGTCCACCGCCCGAAGAAAAATGGCCGTTATCCGAGGAAAATCCACCGGAAAATCCGCCGGAATGTCCGCCGGAATAATCCGAGTGGCTGAAACCACCGGCGTAATTACCACCGAATCCTCCGAAATTACCTCCGTGTCCTCCAAAATCGCCTCCGTGTCCTCCAAAACTACCTCCGTGTCCTCCAAAATCGCCTCCGTGTCCTCCAAAACTACCTCCGTGTCCTCCAAAATCGCCTCCGTGTCCTCCAAAACTACCTCCATGTCCTCCAAAATCGCCTCCGTGTCCTCCAAAATTACCTCCGTGTCCTCCAAAATCGCCTCCATGTCCTCCAAAATTACCTCCATGTCCTCCAAAATCGCCTCCAAAGTTACCTCCAAAGTTACCTCCAAAACCTCCTCCAAATCCTCCTCCGAATCCTCCTCCGAAACCTCCACCATTTCCTCCGAAACCTCCAACGCTAGCCGACACCCCGATGGGCGAATGTGAGTCAACATTAACCGGTACCGGTACTTTAACCACGACCTTCGACGGTACTCTAACCGGTACGGGTTGGGTGACCCACACCGGCACGTGTTTGGGCACGGTCACGTGCACGGGGGTCTTCACTTTGACGTAGTGCTTGACTTTGACGGGCACCGGATGGGGTTTGTAGACGGTGACCGGCACGTGTCGCGGCACCTCCACCGGCACCTCTACCGGTACTTCGACGCGAACCGGCCGAGGGACGGGCACCGGCCGAGGAACGGGCACCGGCACGGGGTAGGGCCGGTCTACCGGGACCGGTACCGGGCGAGCTACCGGGATCTTCAGTCGCTTGGTGCTCTCCGAGTAGGAGGTACCCCTGTCGACGGTTCCTGCGGGTTAATAATGCGATTAAAATTCGATGGAAAGAGTGTGAAATGTGGAGAGTAGGTACTTACTGGGCGGTCCGTTTACTGCTACTCCAGGTCCATTGGGTACGCCGAATGGTACGTTAGTTGAACCGCCGAATCCTGGATCTCCTGAACCGAATCCAGGTCCACCTGATCCAAATCCAGGTCCACCAGGTCCAAACCCAGGTCCACCAGCACCGAATCCAGGACCACCAGATCCAAATCCAGGTCCACCAGATCCAAACCCAGGTCCACTAGCACCAAATCCAGGTCCACCGGCTCCGAATCCAGGTCCACCGGCTCCGAATCCGTGTCCTCCTGATCCAAATCCTGTGCTGGCCGATGCGAAATCGCCGCCGCCTGATCCGTGGCCGGTCGAAAAGGTACCGTGTCCGGCGTGACCGGCGAAATCGTGACCGCCGCCGCCGCCGCCGTGATGCGATATGCCCGCCGATATGCCTATGTTGATGGAGCCGTCGCTACCGTGGCCGGCGACGTGGTGCAACGACGACCCGGCGGTGTCGTAGCCGCTGCCGTAGGGGGCGGAGGCGGCGGGGGCGGTCAGTTGACCGCTGAGGTGGCCGCATCGCGAATTGGCGACCAGCGCGGATACGCCGAGGACGATCTGAAAAATTTGTTTTTTTTTTTTGGTTTTTTTTTTCTTTTCGAATGAAAATTATACAGGGTGGTTCTAAATTGTCTAAAGTGTCTCATAAATTGATACTTTTTTTAACTGCGTATAGATTTTTCAACAACAAAATAGGTGAGCTAATATTTTTTTCGAATTTAAAGTTTATTTTCTTCTATTGTTTGAAAATCCCGGTTTACTTTTATAATTTATCCATGATTCCAAAAAAATTAAAGACCATATGGAATAAATAAGTAGGTAATAAACAAATTTGAATAAGATATCACTCTTAATTTATAAATCATTTTTTTGTCGATTTTAACCTATAGTAAAAAAAATTTCAATATTTCAAATTTTGTTTATTATAAATTAAAAAAAAAATTAAATCTGCGAATCGGTCTCAAATGATGTAAACTACCACCCCTAGAATTTAGTGCCATAAGTTCGAGAACACCCTGTATATATTATATTATATGGTATAATTTCAAAATAGTTATACAGGCTGTCTCTAAAAGTTGCGAACACACAATTAAATCCTCTTTCTAGAACACTCTGTATATATAACTTAAAAAAAAACCGCTTGACAAAAGGCGGATGTAAAGAAATATATTGAAGTTTCTTTTGCGTATTACTGTCGTTATTTATTATGATAAATATGCTTACCAGAATGGAGCGCATCTTGGGCGCGAGAGAAGTGGCGATGGGAGAAAAAAATCGGATTTTTGCTCTTCGTTCGCAATCTCTTATTTATATAGGAAATCGCGCCTCTTCGGTTCGCCCGGCGTCGTCGGGCGGATGGGATGAAGGAGAAGAAGTAGAAGAAGACCGGACGGTAACTTTCACAAAAAAAAAACAAATAAATAAATAAAAATAATGTAGCGTTACGTGTGCACGCGTCGGGGTTACAGGGGGTCGAAAGAAGTGCATTTTTTTTTCGACTGTAATTTACGATAAGAATGTCGACGATTTATTCGAGATATTGGGCGTGCAATTGCCACATCATTGCCGGCTGGTTTATTATTTTATGCAGGGATGATCCAAAATACTGCTTCAATGTAGCATAACTATCCTACCCCTTATTATTAACAATAGAAAAAGATCAGAATTAATCTCTCTACAATCAATTAGAACTGTTTATAAAGCTCTAGAATCAATTAGAATAACTGCTATAAACATTTTCAACGCTTCAGAATTATTTAGAACTATCCAAAATCAATTAGAACCAAAGATTTTGACTTGAGGCCGCGAGAACTTTTTACCTTACCCTTGTAAAATTTTTAGCCACTTATAATTGTGTTGTAAAATACTTGTAATATACAGTATGACTCGTTTCTACCTAACAAACAAAACTTACATTATTATTTTAAATAGTTTGCCCTAATTTTTGTATTTACATAAAGTAATACATAATGAAGATTAACTTAATGGTAACTGTTATGGTGCAAACGGGCTTTTCTCCATATCGCTGTACAGTGACATATTATTGTGGATTACGTAAAGATTGCTTTCGTGAAAATTTTCAGGTAGTATAGCGAATAAATTTATTCCGGTATTATATTATTTGAATTATTCATTCGGCGATTTTTGGCTTTGGGAAAATATACGGGGTGTTCTTTATTTCGTACAATACGTGCGTGTATAGAGTGCAAATTTGGGTATGAGTGCAACAAAGACAACTTCCATTAGTTTTATTTAAAAGAAAAAAGAAAGATTGAAAAAGATTGGAGAAAAGCTTGATTGCAGCAGGATTGCAATTTTCTCACTCTAGCTACTGTTATTTTAACAATCTTTCTTTGTTCAACTCATCGTAGAATTGACCATATTGCAATCAAATTAGCGCTTACTCGTATAAAATGAAAGTAATTAATTCGGAATGACAAAAAAAATCTGATTAAAATCAGAATCGAAATGGAAAGCATAGTGAAAGTGATTTTTATTAAAATCAAATTTGATGGACTGAAATGATCTATTATTAATTCTTAATTAAGTATTATCTAAATGAATTCATAAATGTATTTTTTAATATTATATTTTCTTTATTTTCAGGTAAGTTTGCTCGTTTTTGTTGCTATCTCCCTATAAGATAAGTAAAAAGGTAAGTCTATAAAATCTAATTTATTTTCTATATCGGACGCATTTTCGTTCCCCAATTTTTACATAATTTTTCCTCTTTTCTGTAATATACTGATTTGAATATTAAATGTACTAAAATTTATTAGACATTAACGATATTATGAGAAAAAAAACATGCATAAACTATTAAAATAACTAATCGAACAGGAAACTTTCTATTATAAACAATATTTAGCAATCATTATGATTTTTTTTGAATAAATTTTAAATTTCCAAATCCTTCGTGATGGATTTAAAAAATAATAAAACTTTATTTTATTGGCACGTTTAATCGATTATGGCGCAGTTTAGATGCAATTTTATAAAACCCTCATCGAGATTGATTGCATAAAATGCGAAAATTATTCAAAAAATTCGCCGTTTACACGGTTTTTATCGCTCCCAATTGATTTTATCGCTAATTAAGAAGCTTGTTTTATTTTTTTAATAATAAGATTAGTGTAATTTTTACATAAACAATTAATTTTTAACAGAATGCAATTTAAATAAAATTTCCACAGCTAATCGAAAACGCTTAAACTTGTGCAAATATACGGGCAAATACAAATTGGTTTAATTGCACGTATGCGTTGAAAATTCAATTAAATTCGCATTAATTAAACGGAAGGATTAAAAGATAATTTACCACTCGACGGTACGTAATAAAAAAAAAACAAATACACACATCATGGAAATCGATTCAAAATTTATCTACAATTTACAGTTAAACATAATCGAATTAGAAGAATATTTAATTCCGAATTTGACATTTGAGTTATTTCTAAGGCGTTCTTCTTCTTGTATTTTTCTTTGTGGTGCCTCGACATCTCGGACTATTCAGCCCGAGTATAATTCGTCGGTTTTTCTTTGGGTTTTCTTGATGACAGTTGACGTGGAGGACGCCATTTACGCCACTATTTACTCGAAGGAAGTTTGAAGTTGCTCTTCGAGCCTTTATTCTTGCGCTATTTGCGGTACTTCAACCTTCTATAAGGACCTGCTCTGTTCGCGTATTTACCTTTTAAAACTCGCGATGTTTCGCGGAAATGCGGGAGCACAGTGAAAAAAAAATGTTGAGAGTTATATTTTGTCTCTGTGCGGGAGCTTCGAACTATAATTGCGCCATTTTGTTATTTATACTCCGTTCGTTATCAAGAAATAATCAAGAGTTAATAATAATGAAACCTTCTTGGAGCAAAAAAATCAACAAATAACTCATTTAAACTCGCATTATCGACTACTTAAGATCACTAGAAATGTGTTATACTCCGTTCGTTATCCCGTTGTATTTTGCATACAAAATTAGTTTTCTCACTATCTCCTGATGACGAACGGAGTATAATATAGTATGTTTAGACTGTTTAGAGTGGATTGATCGTTTGTTGGTGTGTTTTCTATACACTAATTAGGTTTGTTGGGACTTCTAGTCGAATATTGGAAAAGACATTAATCGGTAAATCCCGGGGACCAATCCATTTAGGTAATTGAAATTCGAGTTTAGTTAAATACCTTACCACCCGGAAATCGACATTAGTTTAATTAAAATTCCACCATATTTGTACATAAACAAAGTTCGAAGTTGAAAAAAAAATCTGGTTGTCTCGTCGTAAAATATAAAAATTTTAAACTACCGTTTACGTAACGGCATAATTCACTTTCATCCGTTAAAAATGTCACGATATTCATCTTCCTCCTGCCGGCGAGCGAATGCAAATCAGCCGATTTCCAACCAGTTTAATTTTTACATTTTCTAACGGTCCGTTTAATTCAACATCTAATAAAAACCGTGTATAAAGTTCGCGCCTTTTAAAATGACAATTACGTCATTTTTAGTAATTTCCACGCAGTTCGAAATGTCCCTAATGCTAATGTTAATTCTGCCATTTGACTAGTTGAAATGCCGATGCGTTGTTGCCATATCGTAACATAACCTTACATTAAATGGATCTGTCAAATAAAGGATTTCAATTACAACCCGGCAACGTTGCAACAGACCGACTCGTGACGTCATTGTCATTTTAAAACGTACGAACTTTAGGAAAACACACAAACGTGTTCTTCGAGAGCGCAAATGAGCTGAATTTTCTTCCGGATTAATGGGCCCATTTTACCCTTGTAAAATCACACCTAGGCATTCCTAAATGCGCCATTTTCCGCTCTCTTATCAGCCGCCATTAGATTTATCTTCTTTCTTATTATTAAACCTATACCTACCTTGCGCCCGTCCGTTATAATACCCAACTCTTCGCCTTATTAATGGCCCAATTAAAATCATTTCTCGGGCGAAACTCCGCGCAACAGGACCGTAACGATACCAAGAATGTTCCTATACAGGGTGAGCCAAATTTCGGATCTTATATCTGTACAAAGTGAGCCGAATTTCGGTTCGGATATCTCTACAGGGTGAGGTAAATTTTGCTACAGACTTTTCTATCAGATATGCAGATAATTTCGCCGATATCTATGTTAATTAGTTAACGAACCGTTAGATACACTACAATATATATTCCCGATTGCGAAGTTTGTTCGATTATTAACGCTAATATTTAGCCCGTGGGGAGTATGCAAATCGTCTATTACATAGGATGCTGAGAAAGCAATTTCGGAATAAATCAAATAGGTTATTTGTTTTGGTGCAATTTCTACAACCGAGAGGAGTTGTAATAAAACTGATTTTTGACCGAAAAATCTTGTGGAAAATAAACCGGATAGAATTAAAGAAGTGAAGAGAAGTAAGTCCTTTTTTATTCGGAGAGATTTAACATTCGAATTCCCGATGCTCCTTTGGAGATTTATATGCTCTGGATGTTGATTAATCGAAAAGGCTATTTTCGTTTCGCGACCGTGCGAGAGATTTATGATCGGATTTTTATGTACAACAAATTTAAAAAAAAATCGATATTAAATTACCGATGGCTGTTTGTAAAACCGTTCGTTATGTAATCCGTTCGAAATTCGAAATATCCGGACGCGCATTTGCATTTCATTTGAATTTCCCCGAACCCGGCTGTCGATGTTATTCCATTCAGAACTTTCCTCCGATTAATTAATAATTCGAATATAAAAAAAATCTCGTTTCGCAATTAACTAACAGATTTTTTTGGCCAGATTAAATGTTATCGGAAGGATAAAGGACACGCTCTCTTGTCGATAATTCCCTACGTCCCGTTTTCGACACCTCTCGATTGAAATGGGTCAATGAGAGCTTTCGGAAACAAAAAAAGCACGATGGAAATTCGTGCCTAAACGCGGGAGACATTTCAACCCCTTGACATTGATCGCGTTCGCCCTAGTTGTACGAAATTTCACTTTATCGACCGCACTATAAAGACTTTATTTCCTGGACTATAAAAGTTAATCGATAAATATGTGACTAGTGCCGCCATCTTTTATAACGCAATGTTACTATTACAGATTTCTACTTACCTATCTGTCGTAAAACTTTAATGACAGTTGACAGATATCGTTGCAATCGCATCGGAAAATTTTACTTATTTTAAGAGTTTATTGACTAAATAATAAGTTCCGATAAGTTTATTATATTCTAATCGAACTTATAAGGTAAGAAAGTAATAAATACGCCCAACTGTGCTTTAATAACGCAATTTACAGTTTTCTACTTACCAATAAAACTTTAGAAATTTAATGACAGTTGACAGATAGCGTTGTAGTCGCATCGATTACTTTATTTACTATTTAATTGTGCTTATTTTAGGAGTTTATTGAATAAACCGATAAGTTTATTGCATTCTAATCGAACTAATGAGGTGACAAATTAATAGATTCACCCCATAGCGTTTTAACAACGACACGAATCGGGTGAGTAAAGCGCTCCAAGATCTTAACCTCAAATTTTTATAAACCAAATTCCAGCCGCTAGGATGGCTTTTATGACCGTAGCGCACTATCTGCAAGTGCTAGAGAGATCCTGGAAGAACCAGGACGGCAACAAAGTGGCCCAATTCATATCGATTCGGCACGATCACGCCCGATTCCCGAACTACCACGTCGAACAACCGCAGGGCATCGTGGTCAAATTTCTCGCGTCCCCGCTCGACGAGCTGGTGTGCTACCACTTGAAATGCCTCTACCACATCGGCTGTCGCGATTACTTGGAGGCGTACCACACGCAGAGCAATTTGGTGCAATGTTTCGCCAAGATCTTGCAGGTAACTCGAGCAAATCGATCGATCGCATTCACTCGAAAACCGATAACTTGCAGGCGCAAAAAGAGGAGAACTGGTCGCTGCCTATCATGTACACCATAGCGTCGGATTTGCGTTTGATAGCGCAACAGGCCGAAAAGCAAAGGGCCAGCAACACGGCGAATCCCGGTGAGATACTCGAAAAGGCCGCCGAATGCCTGATGGGTTGTTTTAGAGTATGCGCGGCTGATAACAGATCATCCGATGAAGATACTAAACGTATAGGAATGCTGGGATTAGTGAATCAATTATTTAAAGTGTATTTTCGTATAAATAAGTTGCACTTGTGCAAACCTTTAATACGAGCCATCGAATCCTCGCAGTTCAAAGAGGCCTTTCCCTTAGGGCAACAGGTTACTTACAGGTAAATACGTGAATAGTTGATACTTTTATAATCTATTCCGGATGTTTTTGAAGATACTTCGCCGGACGGAAGCTGATATACGATAGTAATTACAAAGCGGCCGATGAGTATCTAACGTACGCCTTCGAGAATTGCCACAAATCGAGCAGGAAGAATAAAAAACTCATACTGACTTATCTAGTGCCGGTGAAGATGCTGCTCGGCTACATCCCCAGCCGGAGGGTTCTGGAAAAGTACGGGGTAGTGGAAGAGTTTTGGGAATTGGTGCAGGCCGTGTGCCAGGGGGATTTGCGATTGTTCGACGAGCTGATGGAGAGGCACGAGACGTTCTTCATCAACAGCGGGATTTACTTGATTATCGATAAGTTGAAGGTGATCGCCTACAGGAATTTGTTCAGGAAGGTGTATTTGATATTGAACACGCACCAGATACCGGTGGAATCGTTGCAGTTGGCCCTGGAGAGCTTGGGACAGGACGTGGATTTGGACGAGACCGAGTGCTTGGTGGCCAATTTGATTTACCAGGGGAAGATTAAAGGGTACATATCGCACCAGCACAGGAAGGTGGTGGTGAGCAAACAGAATCCCTTTCCGGCGTTGACTAGTTTAAGTTAGTGTAGTTTTTGGACTGTTTTATTTATGAAAAATGTGTATGAGGAATTCGATTTTTTTACCAATAAATTTGTGATTTAAATATCTCGAAAGTTACTAAGCGAAAGAAGGAATCTGTAATGGTTGTTCGGAAAGTTAGGTGGGGTTTGTGTAGATGGCGCCACCGTGCAAAATTTCTATTTTTGGGATTAAAAAATATGGTTTGTACAAGTAATTTTAATTAAAACAATATGATTATAATGGCAATTTGTTATTGATTTTTGTTCTTACTTTTTACTTTTTTTATTCTATTATTTATGATAACGAAAAAGTGGAAACATGTGATGCTAACTTCACATGTTACTTTTTAAAAAATGGTGGGTAGATACATTTAAAACTTTATTAGGTAGGTAAAATTATTAAATTGTAAGGTTTTAAGTGTTTTGGTTGTTTATCCTACCTAGTATAGGTTTTATAAACTATAAACTAAATTTTACACTCGCAGTGTTAATTTGATAAATAATAGTACAGGAACTCCTAAATTTTCAATTTATTTTTAACAATTTTTGACATCAATTTTAGAAAATTCTTAATTTAGTAAATTTTTAGGTGACTGAAGGTAAATTTAGGTGAATTCTGATTCTAAACAATCTGTAGATACCAACTAAATCCTATTTGTGATACATTTTTAATTAATAAAAATCTATTCCTCCCACATATATATTGTTTTTTTTCGATCGTAAATCTGCAGGACCCCCCGTAATAACGTAATATACCTGATATAATTAGTTCGGAAGGCCTTCTAAGTAATCCAATAAAACCGTTAGAACAACATGAGAACGGCCGTTGTCGGTGCTCTGGGGGGTTCCCAATGAGCCCCACGTTACATCGAGGCGAGGATCGATCGATATCCGATTGCGCCATACATAAAGCAAATATTGGTTTTGGTTCGATCGCGAGAAAACTGATAGGAAATTACACACGATTCTATCAGATTCTAAATGAAAGTTCTATTTTATCTATAAAGTTGAGATGCACGTTATTTTAATCCGTTTGATCATCAAATGGAACTTCTTAATTAAAGTTCGTACGTTTTAAAATGACAATTACGTCACGTGCCAGCCTGTTGCAACGTTGCCTAATTGTAATTTATATCCTACAATTTGGTGCTTGAAATATTAGACGTTAATTTATAATTCATTTCCATCTCGTTTGGGCCATTCATCTCTGTACATTTTTATTTCGTTCTTTTATAATATTATAATATTAAATCCGCCCTTACTTTATAATTACGATATCGATTGTATCAGTGCTGATTTCCAATATCGAGAGAGAGTTTTCCTCGCGATTCGCGGGGAAAATGCCTATAAAGATGTTTGCTAATTGAAATTAATAGGGCGTGTTTGGTAAACAAAGCGTTCATTAACAGTATACTGTTTAATTATTCCTAATTTAAATGCTACACGTCTCTCGTTTGCTTGTTTATGCGAATCGGGAAATTCGGAAAAACCATTAAAATGGAACATTGTATGATGTTGTATAAAGTGTTAAATTTCCAAATCTTAAATTAAATAGGTATTTTATTAGTGTATATAAAAGCTATTAAATCCTTTGTATTAGTGTATAATAACTAAGGAATTTTATGTAGGTGGGTACATATTATTGGCATATTTAATTTGCATATTCGCCCTTCTGTAATAATAATATTATAAGTACACGGCCCCTCATAAATAGTGGAAATTTATGCTTGGAAAAAGTTTAATTTTTGCCGTTAGGGGGATTACCTGGCGCTCGATAGAGGTAGTAGGTGTATATAACCGACCGGTAGGTTATTGTTTCGTAGTTCAATTGCACGCTCGAAGCCATATAGGACCCGAAACGGCCGTTACGCTGTGCTCTTATCTAAATTGAAACCGTTGCATGTGCCTTTTCGCCGAAGACATTTACACTGAAATACGGCGAAACTAATGCAGATGAACCGCAAATATGTCGGGGCCCCGTAATGTACACGAGCGCTGAATTATTTCGCAAATAGGTAGGGTAAATTAGTGTTGAATAAATCGCGTAAACTGGGGAGACAATTGCCATGTGGCAACGTCGCTAAAATTTTTTGTTTAACTTTGACGGAAATTAATATTACATATTCTTAATTTATATCGGTATAAATATTCAAAAAAACAAGTTAAAAAGTAAGTTCTGAATAATCCTGAAAAAGTCCAAAATTGTTTTGGAATATTCTAGTTCCAAGGAGTCCTGATTATATTTTAAATGATTTCGGACGGTTCTAAGATGACTCTGAACTGTTTCAAATGACAAATGGTCAGTTCTAAAACGGCTCTAACTGATTCTGGATCAGTTTCAAAATTAATCTAAAATACTTTTTGGTCGATTTTTTAGTTGAAAAATTCCAAATAGTCGTCTAAAAGTTCTAAATAAGTGTTCTGAATAGTCCTAAAAGAGTTCTGCATAGTTCTGAAAGCATTTTAAATATAGTTATGTTTTTTTCTAGTTTGTCTAGTGAGCGTTCCAAAAAGTCCTGAATCTTTTCTTAATGTTTTTGAACAGTTATAAATGGTTCTAGGATCATCGTGAAAAGTTTCAAATGGCTCTAAATTGGTTCTAATTGATTATATACAGTTCTAAACGGTTTTGAACAGATTTTTCTAAAAAAAATTGAGTCATATTGTTATAAAACGAGCTCTAAAATTGCAAATAAATGAACAAAGTTGCAGAAATTTTTTTGAATACTAAGTTTTCACTTATTAGAGAAACTTTTTCGCAACTTTATTTTGTATTTCAGCGGACTTAATATTTATTCTAATTTATACGGCAAAAAAATCCAAAAAAAAAATCTCCAAAACCTACCTTCGCTTTGATCCCTTAAAATAACGCTCCTTCTGTATACTTTCTACCGATTTACCTACACAAAAAAAAACCATCTAAGGAGAACTCGCACCGATGTTAAATAAAGAGTGGAATTTATTCCGAGGGCGTCCCGACGCCCCGTCTTCTACTTGATAAGGTCGGTTCTTAATGAACTTCGCGAAACTTTAATAGTTTTTTTATACTTCCACTCGCTTTATAAGGTACCTTCTCGAGCGGTTTAATTCCAGGAGTGCAGAAAAAAAAGCGTTAGAAAGTTCATTTAATTGATTGATAATCGAATTGCTTGTTAATTTTAGCGAACAAGCGAAATTTGTCAACTACAAATGGAAGAAATTATCAGTTTTTGTCATGGAGTATGAAAAGTTTGGATTAAAATTCGTGATAAATCTTCTATAAAGTATCGATTGAGATTTCTTAACCTAACCCCTCTTCTTTCTTATTTAAATAATGTACCATTGCACTTCTTGATTATTCCCACTGCTAAGGTATATTGGATGATTTAGAGTAAAATTGACGTCATCGCTTATTTATAACGAACATACTATACGGCGTACATTTGGCGCATATTTTCATTTACATTATCTAATTAGTGTTCGGGATTTTCGAGAGTTAACGCGAAACCCTCTTTATTAAATTAAGTTCGAAACTACAACTACATTACCTATACACACACAAGACACACGCGATGTGTATAGATAGAGAAGAGCTCGGTCGTTTCTACTATATACTTTGGCCTTTGATAAGAAGCCTCTATCTCGAAAGTTAAAGTAAAAGGATCCTGGAGGTTTCCGGGTAGTTGTTAAAGGCGAACGGTAACGCCATCTAGGAATCCGATACATTTCGTATCTATATGAAATTTGTAGTTTTAGATGCACTAATCGGGATTCCGTAAAAATATTATTATCTCGGAGAGTATTACACTAAAATCAAGTAGTTTAAAAGCAGTTAGAACGCTCCATAGTTATTTAGAACTGTCTAGAACTAAAGATTTTGACTTAATAAGGAGAATAATGTAATTTTTCAACTGAAAATCGCTGTCTTTCATTGTCGTGCCGAGAACTTTTCACCTTACCCTTGTATAATTGCTTTGGGCCACCCTGTATAATCGAAACTAATTTTAGATTACAAACGGTAAGTGTGACCCCTCGTTGAAATCGACTCGTCGAGTAGGTTCCAAAAATGCAAAAATATACAGGATGTCCTATTAAAAAATAATACTTCACAATCCCTAGATACTTACACAGAGACGAAAATTAGTTGCTACAACCAAACTGATTGAGAAATCTCTCTAATTTTTTACATGCTAATTTAAAACAGTGTTATCTACATGCAGACACTTGAAATAGTCAAAAATATCAAATGCATGTAATTTAAATCGGAATTTCCGGGTACTTTTTTTCTGTGTCAGAGGGCAGGCAAAGCAAACGAAACACAAATCTTCATTAGTACGATTGTGGATACTCGGGGAGTCTCGGGGCGCGCGCGAGATAAATCTCCCGAAAAATGTCTGAATTGTGTCCCGCGCGCGCTCGAAAAGAATCCTTAACACAAGGGCCGTTTTGTATACTTTTTAACGACTCCCGGAGAATTACCCTCGTTTGTTATCTGGCGAACTTTCCGGTTAATTTCGAAACATTTTCTTACTCGTTTCGCGCGACTATCGCGCGCACGCGGGCGCTCATTTCAGAGATAAGAGCCCCGTTCGAGCGTTAAAAAATTATTTGTTTATATTCTTCTAAGTTAGTTCGAAATTCCGCTATTTGTAATTGATACGTTTGGACTACAAATTTGTTGTTTTTGTGACTTTTAAAGCGGTTCTTGTCTTTTTCTGCAGCGTTCTAAATGGTTCTAGACAGTTCTAATTGGTTCTGAAGCGTTCTAAATAGTTCTGGTGCGTTCTAAATAGTTCTAGAGCGTTCTAAATGGTTTTGGAGAGTTCTAAATGATTCTAGTTAGTTCTAAATGATTCTAGTTAGTTCTAAATGATTCTAGTTAGTTCTAAATGATTCTGAAGCATTTTAAATGATTGTAAACAGTTCTAAACGGACTTGGAGCGATTCTAAATGGTTTTAGAAAGTTCTAAATGATTGTAGACAGTTCTAAATGGTACTGGAGCGTTTTAAATGGTTCTAGAAATTTCTAAATGATTCTGAAGTAGTAATCTTACTCTAAATAGACAGTTCTAAACGGACTTGGAGCGATTCTAAATTGTTCTAGAAAGTTCTAAATTATTCTAGACAGTTCTAAATGGTACTGGAGCATTCTAAATGGTTCTAGAAATTTCTAAATTATTCTGGAGTAGTAATCTTACTCTAAATAGACAGTTCTAAACGGACTTGGAGCGATTCTTAATGGTTCTAGAAAGTTCTAAATGATTCTAGACAGTTCTAAATGGTACTGGAGTGTTCTAAAGAAATTTCTAAATGATTCTGGAGTAGTAATCTTACTCTAATTTGAATCTACTTTGAATCTACTCTGAATATACTTTGAATCAACTCTATAATACTTTTTTAATAATTTTTGTAACGTAATATTTGTTGCACCCTGTATATGTATAACAATACGAACGGTATTACCGCGACAAATCCAGAGATAAAACACTGACCTCGCCTTTCGAAAACCTTCGGTTTAACCAGTATACACCACTTAGGTATACCTTTCGAGCGATTCCATTTATACCCTTATATACGAAACAACCCTCACGTCCTTAGGCGCGCCCTTACGGGGGCGGCTATCGACTTAATTAAATTCCGAAAACCCGGAATAAAATATCGCCGAAACGCCTCCGAAACCGTTCCGCAAATAGTTCTCGAAACCACCGCACGGAACTGCATATGTTTAGGTCTCATTTCACCTGATCCTTTTGTATAATGTCTACGTGTAGTATATGCATATTATACATATGTATGTGCGAGACAAGGACGGGGGTTTGTTTTAATATATACATTAAAGACGATGGGAGGGAAGGGGACGAATATGGGAGGAAAATAAAATTAGTATACTGTATACTTAGATGTTGGATTTGGTGTTAAAAATTTGAAAAAATATTTCATTAAAGTAGTGGAAATTTTCCAAAATAGTCTTTTATAAGGGTAAAGTGGGAAGTTCGAAAATCGAAGTTCAAATGATGACAATTCTTATTGATTCTGGAGGGTTCTAAATAGTTCTAAACAGTTCTTAATGATTCTGGAGCATTCTAAATGACAATGGAGAATTGAATCTAAACAGTGATCAAACTTAATTGATTCTTCAGGTTGAGAACTTTTTACCGTACCCTCGTAGAAGTTCCAAAGAAAGGTTTTAAATAATCCTGAAAGTTCGTTTTAAACTTTTCTATATAAATTTATACTAGACCTTTCCAAATAGTCCTGAATGATTTCGGACAGTTCTAAATGGTTCTAAGATCGTAGCTGAACTGTTCAAATGTTCCTATTTAGTTCTGATTTTTTTTCTAGATTTTCACTCTCTTTCTTTTTATAATAATTATCTTCTTATAAAAAATCAAGTATACGAAAATAATCCTGAAAGCGTTCCAAATGTTTCTGGATTATTCTAGTTTCAAATAGCCCTAAATATGTTCTAATCTAAACGATTAGGACAGTTCTAATTTAAATAATCCTGAAAGTGACCTTTCCAAATAGTCCTGAATGATTTCGGACAGTTCTAAATGGTTCTAAGATCGCGGCTGAACTGTTCAAATGTTCCTATTCAGTTCTGATTTTTTTTCTAGATTTTCACTCTTTTTCTTTTTATAATAATTATCTTCTTATAAAAAATCAAGTATACGAAAATAATCCTGAAAGCGTTCGAAATGTTTCTGAATTATTCTAGTTTCAAATAGTCCTAAATATGTTCCAATCTAAACGATTAGGACAGTTCTAAGATCGTCCTGAACTGTTTCAAACGGTCCATCTCAGTTCTAAAACAGTTCTTGAAGGTTCCCAAACAGTTTTAAATCATTTTTCTCAAAGAAAAATTAACCTTTAAACGAGCTCTAAAATTCTCCCAAACACGCCATCCTTCTCGCTCGCTTCTCGAGCCCGACTTCGACATCAACCTCCCTTCAACCGAACTAACAAAAGACTGTTTACAAACCTTTCTACCCTTAACTAAGCCCGTAACGCGATACATACACTCCATTATAACCCGAATTTAAGGAGACAGGACAATATATTTATACTCGACTTGACCGCCAGAGAAGTCCTTTCGGCGATCGCGGAATCGAGTGGCCTCTGCGAAACTGCGACGGGAGATGGAAAGATTGAAGCCCGGCGGGGGTGGGAGCGAGAGAGGAAGCGCAGCCGCGGCGTCGGATAACGCCGTGCCGTCGCGACGCCCAGTTTGCGGATAACGACGCCCGCGTAAGGGACGGTCCGTGTGCACTCGGCAGACGCCTCGTTTCGATAAACTGGCGTTCGATATATATAGATATGTTAAAGTGTGTGTTGTGTGAATCGTTGGAAGATTTTATTAGTGTAAATTAGATTATTATAGAAATAATGTTGTTGGTGTAAATTTAGTGGTAGTTTTCTAATATTTAAAAAATAGTGAGTATATTTTTCGTGTTGGAAAAAAAATTAAACCGAACGTAAGAAAAGTAATGCGGGGTAATTTAAGCGTTTTATTTATTTTCTCATTACTAATTCAAATGAGTTTTTGTGTAGTATAGGGGTGTTGAAATTTCGTGCGAAGTTTAAATCCAATACCGATATCGGCGTTGTTATCGGGGCGAATTTGAATATTCAAAACCCGAAGACGCGATAATTAGAAAATCGAAAATCGCCCCGAAAAGGGGATGAATCGGCAAGATTGAATGGCTCTTTTGCACCGCATCGGGTATGCAAATTTGCGAATCTATCACAGTCATTTCTGCGTTTATAAATTACAGGCGAATATATATACCCTCGGGTACAATCGCTGGTAACCTAATCGCCCGTGCTTATCTGGAATGTCTTAGAAACTACTGTTGTGCAGCGAGCGGTTGTTTAGTAAATATTTTCCTTTGTTTAAATGCGCCGGGAGGTGTTGTTTCCCGGAAAAATCCATTAGACTTGGAGCCGTGCATTTTTAGGATGCAAATCCTTTTTTTTGTGTGGTGGCGTCGGAAAAGTCCCCGGCGAAGATTAATGAAAATTCGCGTGGCGTTTAAAGATTTGCAAATACGACGCGAATACAAAGCGATTTTTCTTTCGGTCTCCCTCCTGGGAAATCTGCGGGTGGTGGAATTTTTTTTCGGGTATTGTATATTGAAGCGAAATTGGGCAGTTTGCTGCGAAATAATTTTTCGTTTCTACCTTCGAAATATTACGCACACTTTATTTAATAACGGCGAAAAGAGAAATGTTAGAAATAAGAAAAATAGTGCGAGTTCGTATTTTTGCTCTAGAAGATTGCATCTACAGTGTGTCCCATAAAATGTGCGCAATTAGAGGTGTATTTTTTGGAATCGAGTGATACAAATTGCTGAGACACCCTGTACATACCTCGACAATTAGATGAAAAGTTTATGCAAATGAAAAACCTTGAATTCGCAGTTTTGCTTTCGAAAGATATACAGTGTGTCCCAAAATAAACGTAATAATAGGTAAATAATATGAAATAATTTAATTGTGTGATTAAAATGGCTCATATTTTTTAGCCACACTGTATATATCGTGAACATTAGACATAAAATAGTAGAAATGGTTAGAAAAAATGGTGAGTTTGTATTTTTGCTTTCGAAGTATATACAGTGTGTCCCAAAATGTACGCAATTATAGAGGCAACAATTTTTTTATTTTTGACTATTGCTCAAATTTTTTAAATCACACTGTATATACCTACATCGTGAAAATTCGATAAAAACTTTATGCAAGTTTATTCGAAATTATAAGGGATAAAATACTCCGTCACTTTACGTTCGAATTCTCCATTTTTCCCCACAGCATTTATTAATCAAACAGATTAACGGAAACCGAGTAATGGAGAATATTCGTCTAGTCTGGCATATACAGTGAACGGTAATTTCCACTTTTCAATTTCTCCGGTTTCGTATTTACTATAGGAACGTCCCGGAAAACTTAATGGAGTTTTTGAAATATCGACGGTGAATTGTTTGTTCGGGGATCCCGATGGAATATCCACCCCAGAAGAATATTCGCGGGACGTTTGTCTTGCGCTCTTCAAGCGAAGCTTTCGCCATTAATGCAAAATTATGTAAATCCCGCTCTGTATTTCATTAATAGTGTATATATGTTGAATGGGATTATATAAAATTATCTGACGAAACTTTCCCTCTAAGAGGATTAGGTTAGGTTTTACGAGTGTGTTTGTATTTTAGTCTAATGAGCAAAAGTCGTTTTATCGCTCATTCGGGAATTGTTCAATTTCCGGTAAGTTATACGGGGTGTTAATTAATTGATTGTCGATACTTTAGGATGTTATTATTTGGGTGATTTTAAGAAGAAAAGTTTATATCAAAATATCTCTTAGTTTTTGAGCTACATGTTGTTACAATTTTAGAAAAAATATAATTTTCTTATTACTCCTGATAATTTTATGAATTCCAAAATTGTAGCTCGAAAACTAAGAGGTTAGGACATATATTTATATTAACTTTTCTTCTTAAAATCAACCAAATATTCACATCCTGAAGTATCGGCACTCAATTAATTAACACACTGTATGTGAAGGATTTTCCGGTAAAATTTTAAATGGCTAATCCGCCAAAAATTCGATATTTTTCACTTGCCTGCGAATAATTAATTAAAGTCGAATTTTGATAGGAAATTATTGTGTAAACTATATCGTTTCGATATACGATTATGTTCGGTCTGCGAACCATTTAAATTCCATTAACGAATTCGTATTTATCAATTAAATTATCAATTAATAGCGGTTACTAAGCACTGGTTTTCATTAACATACACTCTAATAAATCGAACTTTTAGCTTCTATATTTAATTACTTCTTCAATAAAATCGTCCAAAAGAAATTTAATTAATCGAGCAAACAAAATGTATGCAAGATAAATATTTTTTTACTCATCATCTGCGAAAATATTAAAAACCCGGGTTTTTGTTTATTCCAAGTGCTTTCCAAGTTTTGTAAATACGCGAAACAACCATTAAATTTAAACGCCCGGGATGATCGCATCATTTGCAATTATTTATACCGGCATTAAAGGAGATAAAAAAAACTTTTTTACGACTTTTCCCAACGAAAACTGATTCGTTAAACTCCCTTCAAAATCTCACTAAAACGTAATAATAAACACGCCCTGTACATAGGGTAAGATTTTAGCACCTACATAAAGGTATGGGGTCTTTAGGGGGAAACTTGTTGCATGATTTAACGATTCTGTACACACACAAAACTCTCCATATGACCATAAAACTTGCATAAGTTGAAAGTTCCAAAAAACTATTCATTAGTGGATTTTATAATACCCTGTAAATGTAGTGGAAATCGACGTTTACACAGTATACAATCGAGTTTCTTTGCATGAAATCTTGCTTATATCATGTAGTTAGTTATTTTCTGGAGCTTCCCACTGTGTATACAGGGTAAAATTTTAGCACCTATAATATAAAGGTTATTGGCGGGTTTTTCGGGGAAAACTTGTTGCATGATTTAACGATTCTGTGCACACACAAAACCCTCCATATGACCATAAAATAAAACTCCCATAAGTTGCAAGTTTAGTCGCCTAAAAAACAAACCCCAGCGATATTTGATACAGTTTTTTTTTACGATAAGTCGTTAATAAATCCCCCTAGAAAATTACATCGTCAATCAATCTTCATCGAATCGGAAAATAATCGGGTATATTATTATAGTTCGCGAGGAAAACCGTAAATAAAATCCCAAACAGGGAATATTTATTCGACGTCTTTTATTCTTCTTTAACAATTTAGCGAAAACTGAACAGAATCGAAGAACGAAAATTTTCATCCGGTGCAAAAATTGAAAACAGAATATCTGCGGAACGTGATTACATCTGTTTCACTTTGTTTTCCGCGCAAAACAAAGGGAATTTGATGTTCAAAGCAGGACCGTACCCGAGGAAATGTTCCTTCACATAATACAACAGAAATAATTGCGCTGTTTAACTTGACAGCTGTCAATAATAAATAAACTTGACAGGTGTCAAAGCAAACGTTACTTTGACACCTGTCAAAACAGTAATTTTGATATGGATAATTTCGAATTCTCGGTCTAATTGCTTTTCATAATAGAATTTTCTGTAAAAAGTCGTTTATAAATTATAAATTGTACCCTTTGTAAAATCGCTGTCCTAATTGCACCTGCTCTTTTGTAGAAGAAGTTCCTCATAAATTTTTAAAAGCTTTACCCTTTTCTCTATAAAAGCACACTTTAGTATAAGAAACCATTTAAATAAACTACAAACGGGTGCATCCAATTCGTATACGATTTCAATAATTCCTACAATGGTCTTCTACGTGTCAGGCCTTCGCTAACGCGGTCGTCCAGCCATCCTGTATAATTCAAAGGGCGCGGGTGAAATATTGATGGGGTCCGGTCCTGCGTTCGAATTGTATGCGCGACGTTAGGGGACGTGTTACGTGCCGGTCTCTCGTTCATTTTTATTAAGGGCCCCCCCCGATGGAGAGAGCGCAGAAGAAAAAAAATTAAAACAAGACGGGCGCGGAACGTGACGAAGGTAATAAGCCGGAAAAGTTGTCAACGCGCGAATTTGAAAAGCGGCTCGTTTCTTTTTTTCCTTCCCTCGTCCCCTCCCGCTATAACTAACAAGACGCGACTTTTTGCAGTGTGTGTATACCGGCTTGATTTGTTTGCCTTGTCCGGTAATTGGAATTTGGTTTCGGAACGTATTTTGTGTTTTTTTTCGCGCGCGCTCTAACGCGAAATTACTATTTACGTTGGTCGAAATACCGCCGGAGTGTCGTTGAATTATTAACGAAATTACCTCAAATAAAATCAACAGTGGATTTTATACTATCGTGTAAATGTAGTGGAAATTTATGTACGTTTACGGAGTGTGCTTAAAAATGGAGTATTGTTACATGAAAATTGAAGATTAAAAATGAATTATTCGTTAGTGGATTTTATACTATCGTGTAAACGTAGTGGAAATGGACCCACGTTTACACAGTATTGTTTAATCGAGTTATTATGAAAATTGAAGATTCAAAGAATTATTATCATGGGATTTTAAATATTACCGTGTAAATGTAGTGGAAATGGACCTACGTTTACACAGTATTGTTAAATCGAGTATTCATGAAAATTGAAGATTCAAGAAATTATTGTCATGGGATTTTATATTACCGTGTAAACTTAGTGGAAATGGACTCACGTTTACACAGTATCGTTTAATCGAGTATTTATGAAAAATTGATGATCCAAGGAATTATTATCATGGGATTTTATATTACCGTGTAAACATAGTGGTAATGGACCCACGTTTACACAGAATTGTTAAATCGAGTATTCATGAAAATTGAAGATTCAAGGAATTATTATCATGGGATTTTATATTACCGTGTAAACATAGTGGTAATGGACCCACGTTTACACAGAATTG